GTTCTTATACCTCGGTTTGGTATAAAGTCAATGTTTTCCCTGTGAAACCTTGTCTTGGTTTATTAACTTAGATAAACTACTTGTAACATATACCACCCCATCCCCCCAAATAGAACAGTCTGGAATTTTGTACAGTCTTGCTCCCTGTTGTAAGTAGCTTGTAATAGAGAATATGGGGTCTGGTCAGTGGAAAAACAAAAAGCAAAACAAAACAGCCTCATCATCATCGTGTTAATTCTGACTCATCGTGACCCCTGTGTGACAGAGCAGACCTGTCCTATAGAGTTTCCATGGCTGTTAGTCTTACTGCCACATCGTTCTCTGATGGAGCGGCTGGTGGGTTTGAACTGCTGACCTTTTGGTTACAGTTAAGCACTTAACGACCTCAACACGAGGGCTCCTAAGGGATCTGGTTCCAAGTCCAATTTCTGGTTGTGTCTTAATTAGCTGTGTGACTTAGACAAGCTGTTTAAACTCTATGCCTGAGTTTTCTCCTCTCTATAATGAGTTTGATACCAGTACCTGGTGTTGTGGCTAGATTCAGTGAGTTCACAAAGGTAAAGTGCTTAGAATAGTGCCTGGCATAGCAAAGGCCTTGCTTATTGTTAGCTGCTACAGAAGTCCTGGTGTGCCGCTGTGGGTTAATGCACCAGACTGCAAAGCCATTGGAACTGCAAGGTCGATGGTTCAAGCTCAACAACTGCTCCTCGGAAATCCTATATAGAGTCTCTATGGTTTGGAACTGATCTGACAACACTTCACAACAACAACAACAACAGCAGCAGCTACACTGAAGAAGCTCTGGTAGCAAAGTGGTTACAAATTGGGCTGCTAGCCACAAGGTCAGCAGTTCGAAACTACCAGATGTTCCTTGGGAGAAAGATGAGGCTTTCTGCTCCAGTAAAGATTTACAGCCTCGGATCAGAAACCCTGTACAAGGTCACTATGGAGTCGGGATTGACTCCATGGCACAACACCACAGCTGTACTGGAGTCCTGGTGTGGTGCTGTGGGTTAATGCACCAGACTGCAAAGCCATTTGAACTGCAAGGTCGGTGGTTCAAGCTCACCAGCTGCTCCTCAGAAACCCTATACAGAGTTGCTATGAGTCAGAACTAACTCGAAGACACTTAACAACTGCATCTGCCCCTTGATCGTTTTATTAGCTTTCTGTGGACAATTTCTGGATGTACCGTAGCCCTCTGCAGGAGTGGTAACCAAAACTTCCAAGACCACACCCAGTATCCCACATCGGGATCTGCCAGGTTTTGTACAAAGACACAGGACGATCTTTTTAGGCACCGTGTTAAGGCAAAGTAGCTGAAACCTCTTCAGGAGAACTATGTGGGCATTGTGAGTAGCCTGTCTGGGGTTTTCATCTTGACCTTGGGACCTGTTATGTGCTGGGATACTGTGCACCTTACGCTTCATCAAGGAAACTCCTTTGCTCTTTGGTACACCCTTTCCTGGGGGCTGGGGTGTCTAATCTTGGCCTCAGGCAGCATTCACAGCAGGATGTTACTGCAAAACCTAAAGAGTTTATGGGGCACATCCTTCTCTTAATCAGTTATCAAAATGCCAAGCTGAATTACATAACAGTTTCCATTTGTCTGAACAAATACAAGTTTGTGGGTCTCAGTCCACCGTTTCCTGTCTGGGGACCAAATCTCCAGGCATGGCCACTTTCCTTCCTGTCTCGTAGGGACTTGGTTTTAACTGCCCTTTGGTGCGTTATTGGCAAACGTGTTTCAGGCTTATGTAAGTCCTCTCGTGTGTGTGTGTGTGTGTGTGTGTGTGTGTGTGTGTGTGTGCCCTCCGTTGCCTGTAGGTGTGTGTATGTATCACATAGTGTGTATCACATAACACTAATGAGTTAACTATGCTGTCCCTCTCCCCAAATGACATAGGCCATTCCTCAACTGAGGCTTGGTTTCTCCCATGATGTAACTGTTGGAGGTAGTGTCCATTTTTACAGGATCTGCCGGCGGTGGGAGCACAGGCTGTCAGCCATTAGGGAATGTCCAGGAATGGACGGCCCAATGGCAGTCTTACACCCCTAAGCAAACATGGTGATGTCCTATAAGTGGGGGACATAGACTAACAAAGGAGAAGCAGGAGGGAAATTTTGGGAGGGTGGAAAGGAGGAAAACTGGAGGCCAAGAGGTCATCGCAACAGCTGTCCATGTCTTGGGATTGGTTATAAGGTCAGGCTGTGAGGAGATTGGGGTCCCTGGGTTGTACAAATGGTTAACATGCTCAGCTGCCAACCGAAAGTTGGAGGCTCAGATCCATGCAAAGATGCACCTTGGAAGAAAGTCCTGGCAATCTATTTCTGAAAAATCAGTCATTAACAACCCTGGGAGCATAATTCTCCTTTTATATAATTGGCATGAGTTGGAATCGACTTGACAGTAACTGGTTTACTAGGAGGGCAGGGGAGACAAGGGGCGCAGGGCTGGCATCAAGGTAAAGTTACTGACAGCACTTCTCACAAGCCACTTAGTCACCTGGTCATAGCGCCGGCTTCCCCGTTGATTATGCTGCCTTTGGGCCTCTGGTGTGACTGATGAGCCGGCCACAGACTGGACTTCCCGTACCTGGAAATGTGAAGTGAGGCGCAGATGTGTCCACTGAGGTCACAGTGCAGAGACTGCTGCTGTTTTATATTTAGACGGAGATTTTAGTTGAAAGAATTCTGCTGTTTGCAACAAGAGAAAAAGTACAACATTGCACAGAACACCAGGCTTAGAGCTTGCAGCTTCCTTCCCTGTAATGAAAGGGTCTGGGTTGGTACTTCTTTGGCCCAATATATGTTGTATAAACATCACTTTGGATTGGGAGAGGAGGGGCAGTAAGTGCAGTCCCCAGGTGGTTCCAAAGAGTGTCTTGTTAAGTGTCTTCAAGTCAGTTCTGACTCACAGCCACCTTGTATAATGTTTCTGAGGAGCAGCTGGTGAGTTGGAACCTCTGACCTTGTACAGCAATAACTTCGTTCCTCCTTATTCAGTCTTCTACTAGGCACCACCCTCTGAGCATTCCCCAGTGGTACTGAGGACTTCTGGCTTCTGCCCTCAGCCCTTTCTTATCATTGTGTCTGCAGTTTGATTTAGTCCTTTTGGTTTAAACAACCAGTCCAATAGCTAAACTAAAATATATCTAAAATATATCAGACACTCTGTCGAATGCCTTCATATTCCAGCTCCAGGGCCTCCTTCCACCCTCTCCCATTCATTGACCTGTCCATTTCAGATTCCAAATGACCAAGTCCTTAAGCTGAAAACATACTTGGAGGTTTTCCTTTCCACAGATTAGCCGTTGGAAAGCAGGTTTAATGAGACTTGGAGGCTCTCTTTCCACAGAGAATCTTAATTTTAATGAGATCTGAATGGAGCCCCCTGTTCTTGCCACAGGTAACCTGTTGTACAGTAGGTTTGATGAGACTTTCAACCTGCCAGTGAACCTAAAGCAAAGCTGTCATCCTTGTGATGGAACTTGCCCATGGAGTGAACCAGAACATGCCGTAGCCGCCCCTGCTTTTCACCACCATGCTCTGGACTGCCTTGTGTGCACAAGATGTTTCATCCATCCGTTTTAAGAAGCTCAGAAGGAGTTCTGGTAGCATAGTGGTTACGAATCGGGTTGTGAACCTTAAGGTCAGCAGTTCGAAACTACCAGCCGCTCCGTGGGAGAAAGATGAGACTTTCTGCTCCCGTAAAGA